ACAAGATTAAAAAGTACTTTCATTTATTATGTATAAATATAATCTCATTAAATATGCACACATAGTGAGAAAGATGATAAGAAAATACCCAAAATAGTAACTATGGTTCTCTTTCAGTGATAGGATTTCACTAACTTTTTACTTTTACTCTGAATTTTCTGGAAATTTTGAAAATGACAAAAATAAGCATGTGTTATTTTCATAATTACAAATTTTTAAAGATAGGTTCTTTAACTTAAGATGGGTATAGTTTTCATTGAGAATAACTGAACCCACAATAAGTCCAAAATTCCTGGGTAAGGTATTTAATAAGCCTAGCTTTTAGTACTTCCAGCATTGGGGCAGTCCCCTGTCACCAGAGGTGGGGCGACATTGTACTAACAAGACAACATCCACTGGATGCATGGGGGAAGAGTGGAAACTCCGGGAGCAAGGATGCTGGTAGACAATTCCTTGCACATCCACGATGGATGGTCAGGCAATTCCTGGGTGACCAATTCAGAGGTTGACCTTAGAACCCCCACCCTCCATCGTATTTATGAGGTCATACTCAGCATTCACCACGTGGTGTTTATGCACAGAGATAGGTTTCTTCTGAATGTGCATGGGGCGCCATGTTTACCAGGGAAGGCTGGATGCAGGATTCACACATAGCCAGGTGTCCACATACCAACTCCTGATTGACCCCAACACTGGCAAACCCACACTCCCTCAGGAGTCTGTGAAATACCACACAGGCACACTTGGACACATTCCCCTCCATCTAGGTGTGGAATTCCTTTGCCTAAGAAGAATGTCCTCTCCCTCACCTCACACACACGCACGCACACACACACACACACACACACACACACTACCACACATGTGAAGGTTCTGCCTTCCTTAGACTGTAGCCATTGGTCGGCTAGTGGTTCAATAACCAGCAGGCCCTGTCTTTCCATTAAACCTGCCACCTATTTTGCTGACTTCATTTCCTCCACCTAATGCATATCCTACCATTCAGGCAATGAATGTATCATCTCCATATAAAAGGCTCTTATCTCTCTTAGGTGGCAACTGATTATAATAATTTGGTAATTCTTTATTTCCAACATGGTCCATCTATGTATAACTGATTGTACATTATTGGTCAAATTCCATAAACCATATATCCTATTTTTACAAATTCCACATCCATTGGCAATCTCAAATAATTATGTTAGGCAGACTAGGAATAAAAAAATTTCACTTTAATTTCATTCCTTTTATTTTTGAAGGACTTTGAGGGAATTATTTGAATATTCCGGTTTCTTAGCTAAAAATTGTTGCAGAGTCATTCTGGAACATACATTTTTGTTTTCATTTGCATATAGAACATTCAATCCTATCTTAAGAGCTACAGGTTAAAACAACAGCCTCCACTTATCTGTTTGTGCCACTAGGTGGTGCACACATATGTCAGTGAACTGTAAGTTAAATGGGCTTGTCACTAGGTTAGATTTAATTTATCATCACAGAGGTGGTACAGACAGTAGGAGATGTAGGATTCCAGGAGAGACAGCAATCCTGTGGGCAGGAATAAAGGAAGGACGCTCTCCCAAGATGGGGTGAATAGGCAGTGTTGCTGGCTGCAGAAATGGCAGGAGCAAAAATGTAAAGGCAAGAAACCCCACAGATGTAGCAGAGGAAAAGTCTTGGAAAAGAAATAGCATGCTTAATTTCCATGCTGATTAATTCCTAATTAACAGGGTTGTTGCAGAGGGAATAATAGAATATTTGAAGCATTTGAACTAGATGACATTAAACATGCCTTCCAGGCCTTTGTTCTGAGCACTAGAAGCCCGGAGATGAAATGACATAATCCTATCCTTGAGTAAGAGCCTAGTGAGAGAGACAGACAAGGAAACAGACAGTGAGGACAGAGCATGATAGAAAAGGTAGATTTTACAAGATGCACTGGAAGAACAAAGTGTGAAATAGTCTGCTCTGAGGAAGGGAGAGAAGGGGACTAGTTTTGGGAATTGGTGTTCAGAGAAGGCTCCATGGAGGTCTTGAGAAGTGAGGAGAGCTATCCAGGAAGATTACAAGAGGGTAGACAGAGTGGACAGATAAGCAAAGACGTGGAGGTTGGAAAGGATAATATGGATTTGGGGATTAGTTCAGTTGAGTTCAGCAAACACTTACTGAGGGCTACTCTGTGCCGTGGACTAATTTTACTAAGATAATAGATGTTCTAAGCCCTTAAGATGCTTCTCACCCAGTGAGAAAGTCTCACACATGCACAGAAAATTGCCATGTGAGAGGATAGCTTAAAATGTGGTCCCTTTTAAATTCTGACTCTGACCTTCAAGCCCCCAGTGTCCTGGCTGCAGGGGTTCTCAGGGAACTCTACACCAGAAGAGGGAGTCCACAAGCACAGTACCTGGTTGCACTGGACTCAGTCACTGGTGGTATTTCAGTCTCGCGTGCTCATTTTAGAGTTGTGAAGTTTGAGGCCAGAGACATACAGTAATTTATACAAAGTGACACAGAGGGGACAAAACACAAGCCCAGGCCTGTCTGACTCCTGTCCGTTTTTCTTCCCTTTTTTTTCTATAGGACCCTGGACACAAAGTCACCGTTTAGCAATAGCTCCTAATTAGGAAACAGATACTTTCAGATAAATAGACCACCTTCACCAGCTGTGATCATCACAAAGCCAAGCTTATGAAAAAAGGACACAATGGATTCTTCCCTCTTGTTTGAGGAAAGCGCCAAGCCACATAGGTTGGCCTGGCAAAGGCAGCTTGAGCCAGTTGTCCCACTGGCCTGGTTCTGTGTTTGGGAAGGAATATGGTCTGGCTCCAGCATTCCTTCTACCCCACATGTGTGAGTGTGTGTTTCATTTCAGCGTGAGGACATGTGCTCACTATGCAGATTAGTGACATCTTGGAGTTGCGTTGTTTGCTTGAAAATGTCAACTGGAATGAGTTATGGGCTGGCAGGAAAACAAGTATGTGTGATTGAAAAGGCCCTGAAAGGGTACAGACTTGCTTTTAGGCCCATGAGGAGTCACTGAAGTGAGAGGTAGAAAAATCTTAAGGAGGTTTTGACTGGGACAGATGAAAATTAAATGTAGGGGAAGGGTGACCTTGAGGACAAGGAGATTTGAGACCAGGTTTTAAGAGGAAAGGACAAAGGAATTTGGAATATTTAGTCTGGAGAGGAGAAGACAAAGATCTTCTTCAGCTCTCCAAATTATCGTCATAGGCTGAGGCAGCTAGAAACAGTGATGACATCATCAAGAAGCAGATTTTCACCCTCCTGAAAGAAAGTAGAGCTGTCTAAACAATAACAAGTAGTGAGTTCCCTATCAAGAAAAAGGATGAAAGAGAAGCAGTTCATATATTTGGTGGGGACATTGCAGAGTGGGTTCCTGCCCTAATGACACGTCAAACTCAGTGACCTCTGGCTGTAAGTATTCATAATTCATGAAAAGCGAAGAGGCAGCTTATATATAAACCAAGGGTCAGAAGTTCTATAATAATAACAACATCAATACTAAATAGCTCTTTTTACTGACAACCTATTAGTTATCGGACATCATGCTAGATGATTTATTAATACATGCCTTGTCATATTTCGGAATTTAGAACTGACTGAATTCTAATCCTGGCCCTACTGTTTAATGAAGATGTTGTCTTGGGCAGACAATTTCTCCTGTCTGAATGTCATGTCCTTCCCCTGTACAATACCTACCCTGTAGGATTGCCAGGAGTATAAAAAGAAATGATACATCAAAATATATAGTACTGTACCTGGCCTATAGTGGGTACTCAAAAAATGTTTCTTCCTTTCCCTTTCTACTTAAATAGAATTTCAGGAAGCCATTCTTGGAGAAAGGCAAGACATAGAGGGAAATGCAGTTGAAGTAAAACATGGCGAAGTATACACTGTATGAACTATCAGGGTATCAGAAGCTCCTGCAATTTGTAGCCTGGAGCAATGGTTTTCAAAGTGGAGTTTCCTGGAACCACTTTTAAAAAAACAAAAATACCTAAACGTATGTACACCCATAATTTGCTGAAATAAAAAAAAAAAAATACATATTTCCAGTTCTACTTAAGGAAAATGAAATGTAGGAAAGAGAAAGAGTTCAGCAGGAAGACTGGGACTTAGGGAATCCTGACTTGAGTCTTTAAGAGAGCTGCTCACTGCCGCCCCACTGCCACCTCCTATACCCACTTCTCTTTACACTCAGGTTTTCATGACACCCAATCCAGGACAGAGCTTCCCAGTAAGTGTGCTGTGATAGGGAACAGGTCTTCTGAGATATTGATTACCTCAGTCTTTGGGGTAGCCACGTCTAGTTAACCTCCAAACACAAGCAGCCTCATTCATACAGCCTAGTGTGCTAGACAAATATTATTTTGTATGAATGTTGTATAGTACAAAGGGATAAGGATTCAGTTAGAGAAGGAATGATTTGATCATCAGTAATTGAAACTGTTATAGCATTGCTGAGCAGGTTCAAGAATTAAACCAGCCCAGAAATATCTTGATTAGAAAGGAGTATCTAGAGTGTGTCAATAACACAGGCACCCAAGGCAAAGAGGGTTTCCAGTGTCAGACACTCAACTGGAGCAACCAGCGCGAGCAAAGGGAAATCTAAGGCCCTCTGGTACAGAGGAATGAGCCTGTGACTGGGAGACTGGAAAGTGACATTCTCTGTGGCCCTAGGTAAGCCACATTCTTTTCCGGGTCTCATTTTCCCTAAGTATGGTACGGTTTTCACTGGAAGACCTCTAAGACCCTCTCAGCTCTAATCATCTATGCTTCCAAAGACAAACAAAAAGCCCTTCCAGGCCTTTTTGTCTCCAGGGTACAAGGCCTCTCCGTAGAATTGTGAGTGAGCACCACATTCCGTGTAATTTACCCTGCAGTGAATCCGAACATCCAGTTTGCATGTCCACCCTGACCTGCTGAGCACAAGTTTGGCTCTGGCTCAAATCCGTGTTCTCACAATGTGTTTTCTTTTGCAGCAACAGCGGCAGCTTGACCTCCTGACAATAACCAGCCCCGGTGAGTAGGTGCGGCCGGCCATTCTGCTTTGGCTTTTCCCTTATTTCCCTGAATGATGCCTTGTTGCCTTTCCAAATGCAATTCCTGCCCTCCTCCCTTGACTCCGTGAATGAACAGCAGAACTCTTGCTACATGAGCCATGAATGACCCTTCTTCCCCTCTACCCTCTGCCCCACAGGCAGATTCTTTGCTGCCTCCCAACTCTGTGCTGCCTCCTCTTGACTCTGCCAATGGCAGGGCTGATAATCTTGATGTCGGTCCATATTCTAGGGCCAAGTTCACTCCTTGGACTCAAGTGTCAAGGAAGTGTCGTAGACTCCTGAGAAATAAGTTTTTAAATCATGGGGAATGGGGTAGCTTCCTAGAAGGTGCCACGGAATAAAGGGAGGACGGCTTATGAGGAAGAGTCAGTCTGGGAAAGCGACCAGGTTTGGTTGGCTGCTCTGAGGGTCAAGATGACTTTTGTCTCTCACCTTTAGGGGAAAGTCAAGCCCCTCAAACAAAGCTGTGACCATGGGATTAAAAAGTCTTTTCTTTCCCCTAGGCCTGACATCTAGCCCAGTGAGAAACCGAGCAGTTTGGTTCTGTCAGAGAGCTATTTTACTTTGGTTTGGGAACTTAAGGCTAAAATTGAACAAGAGATATCATTCTGTCTTAGGACCAAGGGGACAATGGTACCAGCAGGATTAGTGAGCATTTGAGAGTGGATTTGGTACTTATTTTCATCCATGTGTAATATTCAAAATATTTTAACAGCCTCGGTGACTGCCTGCTGTGCTAGACATTAACACTTTAATCACTGGACTGTGCGGAGTTGAGGTCCTAAAGGAGGTGATAGTGTGGCTAAGTGGTCATATGGCAGAGTTAGGGTGTTCAGGGAATGACTAATTACCAATAAATATGGAGATATTTCAATATGTGAGTAACCAATATGGCTGAACTATGTCAGCCCTGCCTTCCACCAAACCTACCATGCTGTATCAGGGACCACTCAGCTCACTTTCAAAGAGATTGAGATATTGCCCTCTGCAGGCACTGTCCTAGCACAGAGGCTGATTATCTGGTCTATATAACTGGGGTATAGAATGGTAACTGCAAATGTAAGGTGGATCCACCCAGTTCAGGTGACCTTACTGTATTTCCACCTGATAGAGCTCTTTGAACTTGAGAATTTAGAAGAACAAAGACGGAACTAGTTTGAAAAAAGGTTAATCTATCTCATAGAATGAGCTAGGTTTAACATTTATATATGATTAACATACATGGAAATTCCAAACCATGGGCTGATATAACTAGAGTTGCTCACTCCCATTTCATCCCTTTTCTTGATAGGGAACTTACCACTTCTTATTGATTAGACATCTCTATTTTGAGCAGGGTTAAAATCTGCTTCCTGATGACATCATCACTGTTTCTAAATGCCTCAGCCCACAACAATAGTTTGGAGATCTGAAGAAGGTCCGTGTCTTCTTTTCTCCAGGCTAAGTATTCCCAGTTCCTTTGTCCTTTCCTCATAAGACCTGGTCTAACATCTCCTTGTCCTCGTACACAGCTTAAAAATTTTGTGTTCTCTTCTTTATTGTATCTCAAGCCTTTTCTATGTTACGTTACTAAAGTATATCCTTTAATAGACATTTTAGTGAGAATCCATGGATAACCATCTTAATTGGTATATGTCTTTGTTTTGACTTCTTTCTGGAATGATAATTTGGCTGGGTATAAACTGTGGTTTGAGGAGGACATTCCTTTACACTTTGTGGATTTTTTTCATTATTTTCTGGCATCCATAGTTACTGATGAGAAGTCTGCCATTATATAGTCATTTTGGGGACCCTATTTTTCACTGTGTAGATTTCAATAAATTTTTTAATATTAATGTTTTACCTTTTCACTTTGCTGTGTCTAGGTGTGAATTTATTTATTTATTTATTTATTATTTATTTATTTTTTTTGAGACAGAGTCTCACTCTTTTGCCCGGGCTAGAGTGAGTGCCGTGGCATTAGCCTAGCTCACAGCAACCTCAAACTCCTGGGCTCAAGCAATCCTTCTGCCTCAGCCTCCCGAGTAGCTGGGACTACAGGCATGCACCACCATGCCCGGCTAATTTTTTCTATATATATTTTTTTTTAGTTGTCCAGATAATTTCTTTCTATTTTTAGTAGAGGCGGGGTCTCGCTCTTGCTCAGGATGGTTTCGAACTCCTGAGCTCAAACAATCTGCCCGCCTCGGCCTCTCAGAGTGCTAGGATTACAGGCGTGAGCCACCGCGCCCGGCCGAATTTATTTTTATTTATCCTGCTTGGCACTCTGAGTATACTTACCACATAAGAATCTATATCTTTCTTTAATTCTAGGAAATTAGTGGCAAATTATGTGTTCAAATACTGCTTTTGTCCCCATTACTTTGATTCTCTTCTTCAAGAATTCCTATTAGACGAATATGGATTCTATCAAGTGGCCCTCCATAGTTTTTAACTGATTTTTCATAATTTTTATCATTTTGTCTCACTGCACTGATTCTGAGTTCCTCACAAGTAACTTGCATTCATAAATTCATTTTTTGACCATGTCTAGTCTAGATTTTTTGTCTTTTTCAATATTTCAATGACTATATGTTTTTCATTTCCAAGATTTCTAATTTTGTTCCTATCCACCTGTTCTTGTTTTATTTCTGCCTATTCTGTTTCATAATTTCTTGTTCAGTTTTAATGTCTTCATTTGTTTCTTTGAACATCCTCAATATGCTTATTTTAAAATCTTTATTCCATAAAATAAGTTTCATCTGGAGGGAATTCAAGTTTCAATTGTTGATTTTGTTTAGTATCATTTTTAGCATTTGATTTCTTCATGTTTTGAAATTTTAATTCGTAGGATCGTTTTGAGAAGGAAGTTTTCTGGTGTTCTCTCTCTCCACCCCATACCCAAACTCCCACTGTGTTCACATCTCCCTGTGTGATGGTTTTCGTAGTTACCTCTACCTACATCTTCAGTATAGGACTGGGGGATATAGAGCATATTGCAGATCCAATGACAAAAAAGTTAGCAGAATGGCTTGATATTGCTTCTGTTTTCTGAGTATATATTCCTCACCTCCAATGCATAGGGTCTGTCTCCCGAAAGTTATGCAGCAACCCTTTCTTAAGGCTCCTTTCATGACAGGAGACCCCACCACCAGGGTCTTTGGTCTAAGCAGAAGCTTGTCTCTGATCCCCACGTCCTATAGAGCACTTTTAGTCTCCCTTATTCCACAGGGATAACTGAAAACCGCTACTGCCTCCTTCTACATCCATATCTCAACAAGCCAGTAGCCTCAGAACTACTTAACCGTTTTCATTTCTGTACATTTCAGCTTCATGGAGATATGTCTTTCACAGTGGAGCCTAAATACATGTCTTCATTTCTTTTTTCATATATTATCCAATATTACTATTTGATGGGAATAAATGGGCTTATTGAAACATGAACTTATATAGTCATTTGACCAAGAAGTTCAACTATAGTTTCTTCTTTACTTTTTAGAAAATTTATTTCCTACGACCTCTTCAATAGAAGGGAGGCAGTATGAGGAAGTGCTACATTCTTTTCCTGTCCAAGTAAAATCCTTACCACCAGACTGAGAAGAGAGACCTACTTTTTGCACATGTATACACAAATATAGATGTAATTTTTAAAATGAAATTAGAATGATATTATATAAGTTCTTTTTATTTGAATATAGGATGAACATCTTCTAAATTATTAAATATTCTCTGAGGGAATTGTACATAGCTGAAAAGCATTTATATTTTTAAATTCCCCCTATTGTTATATATTATTATCATTGTTACATCCAATTATTTAATTATAAATAACACCACAATGAGCATTCTTGTATAAAGACTTTTGTGTACATCTCTAATTCTTTAGGAAAAATTCCCAGGATGAGAATTACTGCAAGAGGTAAACGTCATTCACTAGTCATGACACCAAAGTAACAATGACATCTAAATTGCACAGGCTTAAAAAGCAAAGGTTTATTTCTCACTTTTGGTACATGTCCTGCATGGCTTGCAGTCAGCTGTGCTCTACATCTTCTGTACTCTGGCACCCAGGCTGAGCAAGAATCCTCTGTTTGAAACATTGCTGGATGTCTTAGTTTGAGTTCCCAAAGAAGCAGACCTTTAGATACATAGGAAGTGACCCCAGAGACGTTGATAGGGGAGTAAGGGAAATGAGACAGGAAAAGAAAGAAAGCCCAGAAAGATTCATTATCAAGCAAGCTACCACAGAGGGCAACTGGGACTCAATCCCACTGGAGAACCCTGTGAGTCAGGTTGGAAAATAAGCCACAGAGTTATCCCTCTGAGGGACAAAGGAACAGGAGTGATGGGGGTGGGGAGAGGGGGGTTAACTCCCTGACACTTCTAATCTGCTCAGTGTATAGACATAGCAGCTTCCAAACTTTAAGGATGGATTTGCAAGTGTCACAATCGGAAGTTTTTCAACATGTGTAGAACTAATAAGTGCTGGGAGAATATATGAAATTGTGGAGAGGCACTGACAACACTTTCCATGTTGTTTATCATGACAGAGGGAAAAGGGAGAGATCGTGAGCCATGCATCTGCCCTAAAAATCTCTTAAAAGGGGTCATTTCTTCCCAAACTTCCTTGATCAAGGCAAGTCATATTACCTCTCCTAAATTCAAAACAGTGATGTGCAATCTTCCCACAGGGAAGGGCACTGCAGTGAGGACAACTAGAATATTGGCAATGACTAATACACTTTATCACACTTCTAGAAAGATTTTTATATTTCCACCACCTAGTTAAACATACTGGTCATAACTTTTTTAAAATAACAGCTTTATTGAGATATAATTCACATGCCATAAAACTCCCCCATTAAAGTGTATAATTTCGTGGTTTTCAGTATATTCACATAATTGTGCAACCATCACCACCATCTAGTTCCAGAACATTACTATCACCCCAAAATAGACACTCCATATTGATTAGCAGTC